TGCTTCTTCATAGGAACCGTAGAGCTGGTCTAGAGGAGGTGTAATATCGCCCATGTTGTTCAAGAATAAGAAAATAAGCTAGACAGCTACGTTTTTCGATGAGCGTTTACCTGCAGTAAATATCTAGTAGTGGTGCGGATATGGCGGATTCGAAGATTACGCACTAAGCTAAGTTGGAGAGAAAGTTTACACTAGCACTAGCGTTGGGGACAAATCTCATCTTGGGGACAAATCTCAAAACCTTGGGGACAAATCTCAGCAGCCAATAATGTATTAACTTTACTGTACAACAATTACGCATTGATATATAATTCATGGGTTGGCGCTTTGAAAACGTTTACTCTCCCGTCTATCCCCTCTTGTTTTTTACCCCCTTTCCTTCACTGATATACAACACACCTGTTATTCTTCCTCTCCTTTCTTTTTCTTCTTCTTCCTCGATTCGTTGCGTTATTCATCTCTTTTGAACGATACGCTATGATACATGATTGCCGTTGGGTTCTTCTGCTTGGACACCAGCTCTTCGTTGTGCTTCTTGCTTCGAAGCATAAGCTGCCTGTTGGGTATGCTTGATTTGTTCTATGTGCGTAGTTGCACGGCTGTTATCGAAAGAATGCGTTGATATGCTCAGCTAGCGTCGTGGATGGTGTCCGATGTCGATGAGTGTTGTGCAATGTTCTCTTCATCGCGGTGTTCGTTGAAGATGATCGCTTCATCATGGGCAGTCATTTGACAGCCATCGATGTTGATTTGGTAATGTCAAAGAATGCTGTAATGCTGCTTTGCATTGGATAACGCATGGTGTGATTGGGTTTGTATTCAGTTCCGGTACGTCAATATGAGTGCTGGCCCACACTGAGTACCAGGCCAATCCAGGCGTCAAGACTCATCGGCCATTTTGGATCCAACATGGCGGACCTGTGGAGGCGAAATAGGCACCTTCGTTCAACAGCTGCTTTTCCTTGTCCATCCAATCGACAATCTTCTCGGCTGACTTGAAGTCAAGATCACCAAGCTTTGACTCGATTCCCGTCATGCCGCTGGTGTTGTAGGAGATCTTGATGAAGAGCGAACAGTCCCTTAGAGTCATTGCTAGCCGGAGATTATGGTCAAACAGTTCTGACCCATGCTGCGGGCGACAAAGGACACCCAACGGATCAAGTGTACTTTGCAATTGAAATAGATGCCGCAATAGGTCGACGCCGTCTCCAACCGTAAGATAGGTCACGATGCCTTCAACCATGGCTGAAACTACAGTCTGGGACGGCGATTTGCTGCCAAAGTGGCGCTTAACTGTTGCATGTGCCCAGGGGCGAAGGGCTTTCGAGTCCCCGTGGAGCACTTGGAGCGGGCAAATGTAGCTTTCTCTATTCTTAGGCACAGAGACCTGCATAGCGCAAGTCCGGCATCGGATAGCTCCTGGAGGCGCATTTGGTGATTGCGCTAGCCACTTGGGTTTGATCTCGAGCGTTATTGACTGTCCAGGGGTAGGTGACATGTTGGGAAGGAGTATGCCCCAGCAGTTTCGTGGTGTGATGTTGTTAAATGTGCCTTTTCCACCTATTGTGTAGAGATGGTTCATTACTTCTGGTAGTAGGAGCACAGCTTCATGGTCCATAAGATGTTTGGTGAGGTCTCGGTTGAGTTGCACTGTGAGAGGGGTGTCGGCACCGTTTCGCGATACTGTGGCCTGACCAAGGGTCTTGTATTTGCCTGGCAAAAACAACGGCCGGATCACACGCTCGTATCCATAGATAATTTCCATGGATGATAAATGTTTCTGGCCACCTCTGGGGACTCTGAGAACGTGGCGCATGAGATAGTCATAGTCCATGGTCGTAGCTCTGAAAGACAATTGACCTTCGCGCAAAACATCGATAAAGGAAAATGTCGTCGCAGGACTATTCGGAGTCCAACTCTGGATTTTGAAGATGATATTGGCGGCGCCTTTGTTGAGGTATTCAAATGTGACGTGTGATGGAGTAGGCGCACCAACGGTCCTCCGCACACAACATCTCGTCGAAACATCTCCTAGCTCTTCAGAGAGGTGGCGCATCTCATCTCCCGTTAGCTGTATAGCTGTCATGCTGTGTTGAGGGGCGGATGGAGAAGATATATGCACTCGCCGGCACGAGCATGCTTAGCAGTTGCGCAGTACCCAACCTAACAACTAGCGCAAGAGCATAGAAGCAAACACGAACCTCGACAGCAGCGACGGTAATGCGACTCCTGCCGCTGGATTGGTTGGCTCTGGAGGAATGCTCTGCTCTGGATAGGTGATGGTGTTGACTCGTTCCTTCGAATATATCTTTGTCGCGTGGTCCAATCGTCGGGTCGCCTTGCAACTCAAGTGGGTGTGGTCCGAGTGACGCAACAGGGACGACCAGGCGTCGGGCAGCTTTCTCCACTTTGAACGTTACCTTCGACGTGCAGGCTGTGTGGAAAAAGAAACAACTTGTCCATGTTGTCGGCTACCCGGTCCTGTTCAGGGTCAGAATTGTGGCGCTCAAAAGCCATCTTCTACCCGTGGTTGGGGTGGACCTTCGCGTCCCTCACGTAATCTCGCCCCGCCAATCACAAGCAAAACACAGGCATCTGTCTTCTGGACGCGATGAATCTGGCTTCTCTTGTGACGTCTATCGTCAGCCAAGCTTTCCATACTCGACGCTGCCGGTGAGCACAAAGGCTGCCTCTGCCACATCACGCGGACCGTCAGCAAACATGCCAGCGCCTGAGCCCCTACCGACCTTCTTGTACAAGATTCTTCCAAGCGCCCCGCCTTCACCGCTCCCTACCCGTCTCCCGCTCTCGGACCTCGACCGCACCGATGGCTACATCCATCTCTCCACCTCCGACCAAGTGCCCGGTACCGCTGATAAATTCTTTGGTGACGTCTCAGAATTGTGGCTTCTGAAGATCCGGTATGAAGTGCTGGCCGCAGGAACCGATGGCGACGGGCAAGTCCATTCGGATAAAGCGGCAGAGCTGAAGTGGGAGGAGGTCGGGCGAGGGTGTTTTGCGCATTTCTACGGAGCAGATCTCGGATCCGGAAACATAGAGAGTGCGTTCAAGATTGAGAAGAAGGGCAGTTGGGCTGATACCTTGAGTCTGGAGTGGTGAGAGCGGCGGGGTTACAATATGGTAGAACACACGCTAAAAATATCATTACCGACTGATGAATGAGATCTTCTTTCGTGGTATCATATGATGGTTTTGTACATGGCCTAGTAGTTGCATATGAACTATTGGGCACTGATCTACATGATTTCAATTGTACTTTGTTGCATCCTCCTATCACCTCTAAGAACTGGTCTCTTTACTGGGTTGGACATACTCCAACGAACTCTTTTTCACAAATTTCAATTAACCGAACTAGTCCTTTGTAGTCCATTCATGGGTTCTGTATATCTTGCTGTCAACTTATCGTCTTGCCGTCATAAAGCGGTTTGCCCGTAGAAAGTAGAATCTCTCTATGCACACATTCATGTCTCATGTTAGGAAACCTCGATACGTCTGAGATTTCTGACAAGGTTTATGCTATTATTAGAATAATTTATATGATTGGGTGACAATGCTCAAGGACATGCCTTCACTACAATAGCAATGCACGGTTTCGTCACACCGGATCTCTTCCGAGCATCTATCATGTATGTATGCCCATATGTACTGCACCGTGTTGTTACATGTGTAGTACGTTAATTTGTTCGTCAACAGTAGTTTACGTCAAATTCTTCGCTATCGAGTCAGGGAACTACGTCATAGGCATACGTCAAATGTCTACTGGAATTTAACCTTGAAAAAAGTAACATTGCTTGCCGATCGGTCCTACTCGGAATACTATCTGGGACCGAACCTGACTTCAAACAAGTGTCAAAATCTCATTTAGAAACCGTACACACATGTATGGAGTTTATTACGGTTGAGCGGGACAAACCCATGTCCTCACGAAAGAGACTGTGCACCAGAAGCTGGTAGCGCGTTATGTCCAAGCGCCTAGACCTGCAAAAAAACTTTTTCCAACTAGAACGACGACGACGACCACTACCATGGAGATGATCCCAAACTAGCAAAAAAGATGTTGAAGCTCATACGAGCTCCGGCTTTGACTCAGCCGAGGTTTGAACTCGGGACCTTCAGTGTGCCTAACAGGATGTTAGACTGACGTGATAACCAACTACACCACCGAGCCCTGTTTTGTTGAAGACTTTCGAAAGTCAGAACAATACATTGTTGGATTTTTGTTGTGGGATGCGACGAACCTGGAATCTGACCACTCCTCTCAGCAGAGTGCAGGGTGTGTCTGTCTTCTTGTGGTGTAAATATTGAGAGAGTACCCTATGTCTCAATCGCAAATGCGACTCAGTGTTGACGCCACAATATCGAATGACAGCCACGCTCAGGTCACGTACAGTACGTAAGGAGATGCCATTAATGCTGTCGGGCGGAGTTCCAGGCTCTGGCGCCACAAAGTCCATCTCGGCCCGAAACAGGAGCGATACCCCGTTGACAGCGTCTCCGCGTTTTCCCCAGTCCCCGACAGATTCAAACACCGACACCAGACGCCAACTCGCAATGCGGCATGGAAACAAATGCCCCACAACAGCCTGTCGGCGCACAGGCGGCCACCAACCCGGATGAAGACGAAGCTTCAAAGATCAAAAGGACGCAGATCGCATGCTTGAATTGCAGGAAGAGGAAGAGTCGCTGTTTGTTGTAAGTGGTTGACAGCCCTGTCGCATTCGCGCATTGAGGTTGGCTTGAACATCTGAGCATGCGCATGTACAGAATCCAGCGCAAATGATCTGTACAGCTGAACCACACAAGCCGGCCTCGAATTACAATATAAAAAGCTCAGCATACATGTTCCGGGACTGACACGATGCTGCAGAGATTCAAACAACTCTATTCCGTGCCTTCGATGTAAGCGCGACAATCTCGAATGCGTGTTAGGCGGTAGCAATCGCGGCGGACGGCGGGAGCGAAAAAAGAAACGCGTCGACGAATCGCAACCACAGCAGCAGTCTGAGTCGCAGCCGGAAGCGCAACCACAGCAGCCATTGCCGACGCTCCCGGCGAATGCGCCAGAAAGAAGCTTCCATACTTTGGGCAATCTCGGAACCACATGGTCGCAAGACACTGTTGAACCGCAATACGGCGAAGAACTTCAGGCCGCTCAGTCAGACTCGTCAAATACGGATGAACTCCCTTTCTCGAATCTTCAGAATCCGTCTGATGCCCTGGGCATACTAGCCAGGGTTGCTGGGGAATCGAGCTCGAACGAAGAGAACAATGGAAACGGTAACAGCATTCCGCATGCCAGAGGATCATCTCTCAGCATGCCGGCGCCACCAATTTCCTTCTCCTACCCGTTGCTAGACCGGGGTATCCTTACTGTCCATTCGCTTTCCCAGCTGCTTGTTCGATTTCAACAGCAGTATCATCCCTTTTACCCTCTTGCTCCGGCTCATGCTTTTGAAACCTCTCGTCTCTCAGACCTGGTGACTAAAGAGCAGCACCTCCTTACTGCTATCCTCTTAATTGCCTCTAAAGATCTCGTCGATGAGCCGCACATATACGAAGCATGTTCCGAGCATATGAAGAATCTAGTTTCTGCACTCGCTGCAGGAGGCGATGCTGGTATTGAAGCAGTAGAGGCTCTCCTGCTATTAGCCGAATGGGCACCGTATACCCAGCGCGGTTCTGGGAAAGTTGGCAAAGGCGAAGAAGACAAGGAAAGCTGGATGCACGTTGGCCTTGCTCTGAGAATTGCGTACTTTCTCGCGCTGGATCGGTACTCGTTCCGTTTCGTGGACCAATACAAGGATGAAGATCACCATCGCAAGCGCCTCATTTGGACAGCAGCATACGTTTCCGATCGTCATATTAGCATTAGGATCGGAAAAGCGTTCTGGTCTCGTGGTCCTGGGCCTTTAACGACTTTGCGAAGAGAGGACTACCCCTCGCTGATCCCTAAGAATCCAAATGAAGAAGACCACGCCTCCATCTTTCAGGCCAACCTGGAACTTACACAGCTCTTCAGCAACGTGCATGATACGCTGTACTCGAATCCTAGCTCAAGTTTCCGCTCACAGATGAGCGGCAGCTACATCAAGTTTATTGACGATTTCCGATCAGCCATGTACGGCTGGAAGAGCGTGTGGGGCACCCTGACATGCTCACCACCTCTCAAAGCATGTCTACTGATGTCGTACGATTATCTGCGTTTATACACCAATGCGTTTGCTTTTCAAGCTACTGTCCTTCGAGCCCTGCCCTCAACATCAGCATCCACAGACTCCCCAGCTGGTGCTCCAGCCAATACCGACATAGGCCGCATGCAAGCACCCCAGCGCGTTTTTGTTAACAATGTAGGAGCTGTGGGCGACGCACGATTCATTTATGAAGGTCTTGATTCTGCAAAGGCCATTCTCACAACTGTCAACAACTTTGTAGATCCTGAGCGCTCATTGCGGTTCATGCCACTTCGATACTATCTCTACTTGGTTTATGCAGGCGTCTTCCTCTATCGTGCTCGCTGTACTGGTGTCATCAGCGCAGATGAGGATCGTGCCATCCGCGCCATGATCAACGAAACGGTAGCTCGTCTACAACGTAGTGCTGTTGGATCCGGAAGCGGCGTCCAGCACCCAGGTTCTCGTTATTCTCAGCTTCTCAAACTGCTCTGGGCCAAGGTACCGAAGAAGGATAAAGCAAATCGCTCCGCATTTCACCATCCTGGTACACATATTGCCAGCACACCAGTAGATCAGAACGGCTTCCCACAGCATCCGGTTCTGGGTAATCAAACGAGTCCACAAGCCAGTAGTAATGGCACAGGTGGAAGTCCAGCAATTACAGAGCAGATGGGTGATTTTGGCTGGACAGACTTGGGTGCTGTCAATGAATTTGCTGTACATGGCGGTGGAAACAATACGGCGGCTGATGATGCTGCGCTGTGGAATGGGTTCCTCCCTCTCGATATGGGATGGAATGCTCAAGGATTCGGAATCGACGGAATAGTCGACTCTAATGAGCTAGGCATGTTGTTCTAATGATAGAGGGGGGAAACTACGAGACTTGATTACTGCTGGGGAGGCGCTTTTGGACTTCTTGTGCTGGTTGATATGTTTGCTTGGAATTCTCGCATACGCAAGGTGGGATGGAGAGGTAATATCTGATATGAACCGAGTAAAAAAATACCATATTCATGAAACACGAACACCAGCAATCGATGTACCGGAAATACTTCACTGCGGAAGATTCATATGTTAAGAGCTGGGTCCTGAGAAACTAAGTTTGTGTGTTTTTGAGGTGGCAAGATCATATACACTATAATCCCACCTTTCCACAGCGCCTTGAATGCAATCCGTATGGTAACAGTGAAATGTACAATATTTTGCCATCTTTTGCCATGATGGCCATCTAGAAACCTGGAGGATTGAGTCGCTGACTGACCCTCGTCCACTTGGGAACCTCTGCAGATCGTCAGAATATATCCTTAGGCGGTTTCCCATGTCCTTCATTGATCCTCCAAATGCGTCTGTAGCGAAATTCCGTAGTGTATGCCACTTACTATGTATTCCCTTGCGATACCTCTTTACTTTCCGGTCAAAAACAGTGTACTTGTCTTTCGGGAGCATCTCCTCCTCAGTCGGCATCTCTGTCTTCCAGCGCTCCACCTTCTTCATGCTTTGGCCCATTCGTCGTAGTGCGGTATCGAGAGTGGAGACAACGGAGTCGACATGTCGTAGACGCTCACGATGGCGGTACTTTTGGTGCCTGGAGAGTCGCCATGGCACTTTCCTGTGTTCCACGTTAGTGTCTCGTCACCGGGCACAATCTGTGAGAAATGGCAATAGTGAGGGCGGAAATGATCGATGGTGGCGGGGGCGAGCGATTGCGCGGGTAAATTGATCGTGGAGAGACGCACCATAGCAGACCGCCCGACAGCGGATTTGTGAGGCGGAAGGGACCGAACATGTTGATGTGTTGGGGTCGAGAGGCCGGGCTTGCGCAATTGAAGTCGCGATATTCTGCGCAGACACTCCCGCGGACTTCTTGGCGAACATCCCGGTTAGCGTGGGGAAGCTCAGCACCACTTCGTTCCCCTTGCAACTTTAACTCTATCACCAACTTCACGAACTTACGAATCACAAACAACCAGAGGAGGATTTTTATACACGACGGAAAAGGTGTCACTGTACCATAAAGTAGAACAATCCTATTGGACCACAAGCCTCTACACCAAGCGCATTCGTGCGCGCATTCACAACACTCCACCATGTCGTACACATTCTCAATACTCTCACCTCTTGACGTTCCCCTGTTTACCCACGACTTTGGCACATCCCGCAGCGGTGGAACTGGTGTTGCAAATTACACGCCAGGCGAACGCGCCCTTGTCCCATTCATCCTGCATTCTGCGCTCGACATAGTCGAAGAAGTACAATGGGGTCCCTCCACGTCTAGCGGCTCTGCACCAATGTACCTCAAGCATATCGACAAGTATCAGAACTGCTATGTGTCATGCTGGATAACAGGCGGAAACACACGCTTTCTGCTCCTGACGAGGCCACGCGATGAAAGCCTAGGGCTCACAAGTGGAGGTGCTGGAGGTGTCAGAGGAAGCTTAGCTGGTGGACGAGCAGCACTTGGTGGAGGTGCCGGACTATACAACCCTAGTAGTCCCGCCACCGAGGAGGCTGTTAAGAACTTCATGGTCGATGTGTATGAGGCGTGGGTCAAAACTATCATGAACCCTTTTTTCGCGGTTGGAAATGGAGAGGTGATTAAGAGTCCAGTGTTCAGACAAAGAGTTGCCACAGCAGCAAAGAAATATCTATAAAGAGGGGAGAGTAGAAGAAGGGAAAAGAAAAGAAATATAGCTCTTACTATGCTATAAGCGCTTGCAACACATCTAGAGCGTATAATGATTTAAGTAAGAGACCTTGGCTCGAGATGGCATGCAAGGAAAACCTCGGGAATAAACTCGTAAAGCTCAGAATCTACTATATAGTTGCTTAAGAAGCACCGTAAAAAAGATACACAGAGGCGCCCACTGCAAAATTCCGTAGGTGTCATTAGGAGAAAAGCAGTCTGTCCAGTATGACTGCTGAATCTGACCACGTATGCTAAGAGAGCAAACGTCGGCAAAGTGCCTGTTCTCACATGCAGAGACTGGCATCTTGAACCCTTCAATAGAGCAAACCTGGCAATAATGTACCTCAATAATTACTATGGAGACTCCTACAGCTGAATACTTCAACATAGGTGTTCTCACTTCATAATGCAGCATACCTATTAGAGGCTCTTCTCTTACTTTCACTTCACTAGTGCTAGAGCTGCTAGCGGGCTTCGCATAGTTAGTAAAAGTAGATTCACAACTCACCTTCACTTCAACTTTACTTTTTTTTCTAGCCACTCTTACCTGCCGCGATTAACCCTCTTACTCCACTTACTACTAATACTTACCTCAAACTCTGTCTCTCTTGTCATTATGTCGCTAAATCTTACACCTTCAGATCCTAGAAACGCTGAGTGGATTGCTCTTCGTAACAAGCAGATAACTGAGCTACAGAATTTCCAGAACGAAGTTAAAGCTGCGAAAGCTAAGTTCTTCAAAGATATCGAGAAGAAGCGAGAAGATCTCATTGCTACGCATCAACGTGAGAAGAACGGCCTTTTGAACAATGAGCAGGCAAACAGCTCAGGAACTGTGCTGCCAAAGAAGAGTGGTGATAGACCTAGGCAGACACCGGCGTCCACCTCCAAGACCTCACCATACACAAGCACGCCTCAGACACGCCTGGTTAAACAGACTACCACTGATGTCATCAATCTTTACTCTGATGACGATGAGCTAGTTTTTCTAGAACAAAGGAACGTACCAGGGTCATCAACATCTGCACCAGCTCCAGCTCCAGCACTGCCTAGAGGCAACTCCAAGAAATCCAAGGTACATTCATGGCTCTGCTGAAACTTTACTTCTTATGCACTAACGCTTCTAGTGCTCACCAGAAGCCTCAAAGCCTACGCGTAGAGAAAATGTGCTGCCACAGTCACCGCGGAACTTGGGAGAGCAACAGAGAGCTCGCACCACCACTCTTAATAATGCGAATGTTTCTACAGATCAAACAGAACGTAACACAACTCCACTACCACAAGGAAATTTTGAGATGTCAGATAGAGATGGGTCTCTAGCAGAGGCTGCTCAAGGAAAGTCACGACTTGTTTCAGGCTTCAACTTAAAGCTAACATTCTCACAGATTCAGCGCATGTTAAAGAACAGGGCACACGTAAGTCGCAGCAGCACGTCAACAACGTGCTTCCATTATCTCAAAATAGCCCCTCTTTACCACCAGGTATCACCACTAGAGCGCGAAAATCAACTCTCCTAGGCAACGCTTTCAAGAGACCTTTGGTCCCAGTCATACGTAACCCTCTCGCCCAAAATAACAGCGATATCCGAGGAAGCTCCCAGGTGACAACATCTAGCACACACGACTCAAATACTACGCCAAGTCAGTGTAGTACCGCAGCCACTTCTCAGACAAATAATTTACGTTCCTATTTTGCCAGGAAGGGCAAAAGAAAAGTAATCGACATCAGTAGTGGCGAAGATGGTGATGATGGCTCATCCTTTAGCGATGAGGAGGCATCATCCTCAGAAAAAGAAGAAGAAGAGAAGAGAACGAGCACCAAGAGGGCAAAATTGGGGCCTTCTATAACCTCTGCCGCTACAAGCGGGCTATCTCGTACACAGAAGAATCGCTTTGGATTTCAGATCAATCCGCAATCGAAAGTAAGAGCAAACAACCAAGCAGCAGCATTATCATCACAAACATTGAACAGCACTGCTCAGTCAGGTACACTAAATGTCCCTGTCACTGTATCTTCGGATTCGACTAACCACATCATTGCAGTTCCGACTCCAGCAATCGCTGCAAAATACTCAAATCGAAAGGCCAAGCTCAACGCAGTCGCAAAGATCGCCCAGATTAGTCAACAAAGCCCTGAGTTCTTCGAACACACCAACACAGGCAATGGGCAAGGCGGCCACAAAGCTACCAGTGTTGAGAAGATGAGCAGTGGGCTACAGAGAATCAGCATTACCCCAGCTCCTCCCAGCAAATATGTTGGAGAGGAAGTAGATGTGCTTGCAGACGATTCAGATGATGAGAGCGTCAGGGCTCCTGGGCGGCGCCGAATTGTCAAAACTACGATAGAAAGAAAAGAGGAAGATGGCAGAAACCCATTTCCTTTGGAGTCAGACTCCAGTAAGCATAAGTTTATCAATGGTGTAGTATTTCCAACAGATGAGCAGTGCAGTAGCACAAAGCCTCGCATCAAGAGGAGAGAACACTGGCCTTGATACCTATGTGGAGAGGACGGTCACTAATGAAGATGGGTTTTTTTTCTAGGCATTCCTTGGGTCTCAGGCATCTTAGAGCAGCTGTGTTTTCTATCAACACTTCGATACCAGTAGATTGTACACATCTTGTCTCTTCTGACAACTATGTAGCATCTACAGCATAGAACACAGCGTAACTTGTCAAATGGTATACACAAAATTATTCACTCTTTCCATCTGTTCATCTCTCGTCGTACAGAAACTCATTGCACATCTCAAAATTATCTGTCACTGATCTACATCCGGAGTATAGCCGCCGTTCTCACTATCCGCAGGTAGACAAAGTTACGACTGCCGTCCACGGCACTCGATTCCAGCCACTTACACACCCTCAATATCGAACAGTGGACAGACCATGACTATCCCCCGACACACGTCAGATTGTGACGAAAGAATCTCACACGAGTAGCTGACATATACACACATTACAAAAGGCAACCGAACACGATGAAGGCGAAAAAAAAAGTCTAGACAAAACTCATTGTCGATCGCAATATGAACCCTCGAACGCGTTCCTGTCCCCCATTCGTTGCCCTATTCTATCTCCATCCACCATCCTTCTTGCATGTCAGCTCAGCTGAACTGTTCTCCACACACACACTCAGACACATGTATGTATGTAAATCCTCCGCCATGCAAGCTGCCAAGAAAGTCAGGCCGAGCACACACACATGTACCCGTAAAACACCGTCTCGTATTCTGTATGTTAAGGCCCCCATGTCATTTTACATAGTCCCGAAGAACTACCAAGCGTAGTCGTATCATGACCTCCTACATTCCTTTTTTGGTGCCTAATTCTCACCCCCACACGCTCACGCGCTCACACGCCTTAGCGAATAGAGAGAAAGAGAAAATAAACTCCGCATCCTCTTTTTTCTCTCTTGCACAATCTGCCTCGCTTGTAGTGCAATCTTGGGGTGGTGTTACCCAAGCGTCTATCTCACCGGGGCCCGCTCTACTTAGTGCAAAGGAGAACATGGTAAGCTAGTGTGGGAGAACTTCGGGCGGTACCAGCCGTTGGGGGGGGGGGGGAACGTAATGCCCCCTCAGCCTTGTTCTTTTCCTCTCTCTCTCTCTCTCCCTCCCCTATTTCACGTAACACCTGCTACTTTCAGTATGTAGTATGTATTGTTTCGTCTTATTGCCAAAACTCAACAAAAAAATCAACAACCGCATTCGTATTCCGCACACACGACGCGCCTCGACACGGGTTCTACCTACCTAGCGACGAGACGCAAACATGCATGCGGAGGAATTGCCGCTTAGCGGGCCGTTAGTAGATTGGTGCTAGAGCACGTTGCGGCACTGCACGCACTAGGCGATTTGCTGTTACGGGGGTGGTGGACGAGAAGGACAAGGGTGTTGTGGGTGGGTGTGGGAAAACCGTTTTTTTTCCTGCCCTTTGCGTAGCGAGCGGGCGCGCTAAGCAGCGGTTCGGCGATGGGGTCGCAAAGCAGCAACGCGTCATTGCCAAGAGTATACAAATCTGTCTGTGTGTGTATGTGCGCATTCAAGACATGTGTGTGCGTGAGAAGTGGGAACCCGCATTGCTGTACTATACCGCGGAGCATTGTTCGGGGCGAATAAGAAGATGGGGATTGAGTGGCCGAACGCTGGTTCTTCGGCGCAACTGTTTTCCTCGCCGATGTGGCCCTTTTCCCTCTGGTCTCCTCGTCCTTGGGCCCAGGTTCGCGGCACGCGGGTACTCAAAGTGCCGGTTCGGGATTGTGTTGCGTGCGCCGTCGGCATCGTATCATGTCTGAATCGCTAGCACGAGGCGGAGATCCTCTCTCTCTAAGCGTACTTGCGATGATGGCCTTGTTTACGATGATACTAGCATCACGCGAGGCCAGTCGCGTCATGCTTCGCGTTTCATACCTAGCTAGGCATCAAGAACCACGCGATCAGGACAAGGAGAAAAGAGCAAGATATTCGGCGGGCAAGGAAGAGCCAAGAAAAACAGATGGAGCAGTTTAAAGCCAGATATGCGGACGACGAGCATATTCGTCAGCATTGTTAAGCCCAGACCGAGAGAAAGCTTACGCAGAGCTACTACCAATAGTTATTTCGCCGCATTGCGCAGTCTCGAGTCACTCACCCATAGATTAAACCCAAACCGAGCAAAAAAGAAAGAATAACCGTATCTACGGCAATTAGCCTTTCTCGCTTGTTGACAGATCAAAAAAACCGCTTTGATTTCAAAACTTAGTTAAACGAGGCGCAAAAGTCTCCTCCGGCAGTTGAGTGAAAGGGAAAACGCCAGACTAACCAACCATACTATCCCTCTTCCCAAAGCCCATGAATCGCGACCCGAAAAAGAAAGAAAGCCACAAAACTCAAGGCAAGAAGCAAAAAAGAAACTCCTTCAGAAAAAGGAAGGAGAGAACTGACTCTCACCCATTCGTAATCCCTAGTCCCCATTGCAACTATTCCCCCCTTTTTTCTTTTCCCTCTTTCCAAATCAATCCCGTGACGCCACATTCTCCCACGAATCCAAGGTTACCCCTTCCACAACCTTTCCCCCTCCGCTCACTTCGTCCGCGTATAATTCACAATTACTCGCATCCCAGCAAGGGCCCCCAAATAAATAAAAAACACCCAAAAGAAGAAAAAAGAAAGGGCGATTCATGATGACGAAACCTCTTCCCCACGACCATTTCCCCTTCCGTTCCGAGAACGAGAAGAAAAAAACGGCTATTTCGCATTCGCAATGCTGTGCTGTGCATCATCCATGTCGATAGGGCGCTAGCGCTTATATGCCAGAGTGGGGAAGAGCAGCGGGGTGGAACGAAAAGTGAGAAAAAAGAGATAGGAACGGGAAAGTTGGATTGCAGGGGTCTACCTATGGTTTTGCGTTCTAACCCTTGGCTTTTTTTTGCTCGAAGAGAGCGCTGCTCATTGAACTCCCACTTTGTGACATTGCCAAAAAGCCATATGTACACATATCTCTCTATCTTCCACGTACCTCATGTACAAAGAATTTTAGAGAAACAGCATTGTGTTTTTTTTGTACGCAATATATTACAAAGCAACGCAATCCCCCAAAGGGAGCAAGAAAGAGAGGCATGTCTTACTCGACAAGCAACTATCCCGCACTCCACTAAACACCCAGGATTCCCCCCCATCCCTTCCCCCCCTCTCTCTCTGCAATGCAAACTTCCACGCGGCTAAAAAACGGTTGGCGGGGAGTGTCGGGTGAAGGGATCCCCCAGTTCTATTCAGTGGCCGCTTTTCGTGTGAATGGACAACAGCGGCATGGATCGCGCAGGCAGACGGACGAAGCGGCTAGGGTAAATAAGTCAAAGTAAGCTTTAAGTTACATACCCAACGAACATATACAACTTATGTAAGATTAACAAAAAGCCATCGCACAAAAATCAAGCTATGGTAGAGAGTTCGGCAATTGCCCGTTGATTCTTTCTCTCTCTGTCTCACACACACACGCTCATCATCATGCTCATGTCAGATAAATAAACCAAACACTTTCATCCCGGGTATTCTCAAACACTCTTGTTCCCCCATTACCCTATGCTCCTTTCATTTTAGTTTGAAAATGGATTAGAAAGGAAAAGAAAATCAGACCACTCCGGGGTGAGATAGGGATTGCACTGGCAAAAGATTGCATGAAGCCGACAAAGTCTGGGGGATGCATGCTTATCTCAAAGGTTAAAATGGGGCAAAAGGGCAATCAAACCTGGTTTAGTGAAAAACTTATTTTTATGTGTGTCCGAGTGGACGGGTTCAGATTTTTTAGAGTGAGATAGGGGTGGAAAAGAGAGAACAAGGGTGAAGGAAAAGAAGAGGTGGTGGAACCGAAGGATTACTATTCTTTTTTGATTTTGATATTTTTCTTTTCAACAAAACACGTCTATTATATTTACTTTGATACCAGTACCATTTATCAACTCATAAGATCTACAGTTATATTCCAATAAAAAACAATCGCAGTGCAAAAACATACATGCCAAAAAGGACAGACAGTCGTAACCTGTTTTAAAAAAAAACTCCTATCTCAGACGCTTCGAGTCATGCTTTTCCAATGCTTTCCGTTAATCCCGTTTTTTTATACCATGAGCGCCGACGAGATTGGTATGCACAAAGAACATGCATTGTTGTCCGGCAAACAGTATGTAAATGAGAACAGAGATGAAGAGACAGACTGGGATGTCGCAAGAGGTCATAACTTGCAGACGGGGTATCAAAAGCACTGCTCGACTATGACAAGCGACGGTGCAAACAGGATGCTCGAAAAGGAAACAGACGTTGGCGGACAGATGACAGCGGTCTGAAACCTAAAGCAGCTGATGTGAAACTTGGTTGGGGATAACGGCCGGGTTAATCATGAAGGATTCAATACAGGGTCGAAAAGTGTGGTTGACCCCGGTCGTTCGTAGGGGCTCCCTGCAAGTGCCGAAAAGTGGGTCAGAAGGGCGGCTGCTTGCAACCAGGGCATCAATTTCGGTGATGCGGCCGGAGACTTCTTAAGGAGAGCCCTCGCGCCTCGATTTCTTGACCCTCTCGATTCTTTCGTTCCAACGTCTTTTTCCGACGCGGGTCTCAAAGTGCGGAGCTACTTGGGCCACATCCTGGCCTTGGCCCATCATGCTGCTTCTCATCTTGTTGCGGTAAGCATCAACTATCACCGGTTAGTACATCCGTCCTCTTGAATATATGGGTCGCGACTTGGTTACTTACGAGACTTTTGTAGGAACAATGTCCTCCCAGCGAAGACACGACTTTGGCTCCAGCTCATGCGGTATCCAAGGTCGTTGAGAGTAATTTCCTTGGATCGCTTCGAACGAGTAAGCCGCGGCTTCGGTACACGCGCCTCGCCATCGAGCGTTGGTACTGGCACAATGGTAGAACCAGCCAAGGGAAAGCTGGGGTCGTCCTCGACATCAGGCTCATCAGCAAAGACCTTGCTGCCACGGGGGCTTGCAGGCGGTGATGTCATTTGCATAGCAAAGTAGCTGCGCGGGAAGACGGAGTTGGACTTGCGGTAGGAGTCTGGCATCTCTTCCATCTTGACCGTGTCAAGAGTAACTCGCACGCGCACTCTAGTTCCTCGCTGCGCGTCGTCGACGAGAATAAACTTGCGACGCTTGGAGTCAGGTAGGTCGCCAAAAATGGCTAGTTTGCGTTCTTCTTCATCTTGCTCCTGCTGCTTTGAGACCGCTACACCTGCCGCATGAGGTGGAGGCGGGGGGTGACTTAATCCGTCGTGAATTGGCGGCATACCACCCGTTCCCGCAGCGGAATCGCTGGCAGGGAAGTTAGGGTAGAAATTCTGCGTTGTGCGCACATCCGGGGGCGATTGTTGACCATTTGGCGCTTGGTGGTGATGAGTGTGTGATTCACCGTATTCATTGGCTGTACACAAAGAAAGTTAGCTTGCACGTCCGAACAAAAAGGTCATACTTTTTTTCCAAAATCATCCCGCGCAGAACAAAACAACAACCATATGGTGACTATGTGCGTGTGGGTATATGCATACATGCATGGGGTAGGTAGTATCGAAAGGGGTATTACATCAAAGAGTGTAATAATATACATGCAGTGAAAGAACGACAAGAGGTATCATTTAACAACCAACAATTACGCTTTATCACATCACATCTGGTGAAACATACCGCTAACATCATCCGGTCCTCCGTGAGGCCCTCCTGGCCCATCATGGTGATGATGCATCTGGGGACCACCCATGCCCATATTTGGTCGAGGTGGTGCAGTTAGTCCGGCAGAGTTGGGAACCCCGGGCGCACCTGGTCCACCTGGTCCAGCCATGTGGTTACCATGTGTAGCCGATTGGGCTTTCCTCGTGGTCATCTTGGCCATTCTGCGCACGCGACGACTCCTCAGTCGCGGGTCCTGGTTGCTGTTCCGCCAGCTGTCGACGGCGCGTTGAATAAGACCACGCTTTCCGCGTAGGCAAGGGTTGAGTTGTGCAAGAGCCCAGCCAACAGTGTTGCACTCAGTCTCGTAGTGGAGACGGTTGCCCTTGTACTGGTCCTTGGCGCAGCAGGCGCGTGGGTATACACAGTTCTCAGTCTTGAAGTCTTGAGGAAGCTCGTCAACATTGACAGACTCGACGTCACAGCGGATCGTGTACTCCATCTTGACCCTGTCGCGCGAGTACTCAAAGGCAATCCATTGAACGCCGTTTTGGTCTTGTCGAACAACCAAGGGAGTGGTTGCAGGAATGGGACCAGGCGCAGCGTTAGGGTTGACGTTGGGTCCTCCTGGAGGACCTGGGTGCATGTTTGGTGTACCAACAGGGGGTCCTTGAGGCGTGGTTTGAGGTGGGCCTCCCAGTCCTGATGGCGGCCTTTGGAGCGGCGTCTGTGACATTCGTGGCTTTGGGCTTCCAGTCATTCCCGGGGTCTGTGGGTGATGCGGGTGTTGGTGCTGCATCTGCTGGTTTTGCTGATGAGACATGAGCAGAGACTGTGAGGCCATTGGTTGCTGAGGCGCGCTTGAAGGATGCTGTTGGTAAGGCGACTGTTGGGGAACTGGCGCAGATGCATATGGAGTGTAGTACATGGACTGAGGCATCTGGCTAGGCGGTTGCCCGTAAATGGGCCTGCCATGCTGGTCATGCTGAGGAGATTGAACAGAAGCTGGCGAGTTTGACTGTGGGGTGTGATATGAGATTGGTGGGTATCCGCCCCGATTCATCGTTGCGGCCGCCATGAGCTCTGGGGTTTCTGGAGCAAAAGTCAGGTCAACGCGTTCATTTTGATGGAATATACAACGGGGGGCATCCAGGTCTAATCGTCATAAAGGCGGCACTTGCGCGCACGCGTGGCACGCATTGACAGGGAAGGTCTGAGCTGAAGGATCAGAAAAGAAGCAAAAAGCCAACATACCTGACGAAGAATAGTTGCTGGGCGCACTGTTGGTGCTGTAGGGGCTGGGGTGGTGCTGCGAGTAGTAGGGAACCTCCTGCTGCTGTTGCTGTTGCTGCTGCTGCTGCTGTTGCTGAGGAGGCTGGGGCTGTGGTGGAGGAGGTGGCGGCGGCCCTTGCTGGCTTTGGATCTGTTGCTGAATGTAGGGCGACTGGTGCTGAGGAGGACCTTGTGGGGCTGGGTGCTGGGGCGATGGGTAGTGTGCCTGTGCGGGGCTCTGTGACGGGACCGACTGGTGAGGAGAGTCGGGGTGGTGTTGCTGGTGCTGGTGGACAACGCCAGGCCTAGGATGGTGCACCGGCAGATGATTTGGCGGTGGCAAGCCCTGCGCAGAGTGTGGGTGATGCTGAAAAGACGGACCAGGTCAGTAAGGCTGCAGGTGGCAGAATGAAAAAAGATTGGGCGAAAAAAAGCAAGTGGTGGTAAGAGGCAGCAAAAGAAAAAGGCGAGGTAGGCAAACGAAAGGCCGTATGGTGATGATGATGATCAGTGCAGGGAGTGGCAGCAGGTAGAAGCTTGGTGGAGGTGGGGGCAAGGTGGGGAGGCTGTGGTTGGTTGGTAGACTAGGGTGTAAGGGCAGTGATGTGCTGCAACAAGACCTAGGCGAGGGGCAGGGTCTGGAAAAAGACAGGAGGGTAGGGTATAGTTTATAGGATGGGAAGGGCAGGCTAATGAAGGCAGGGCGGCCTTTTGGCAAGCTTGACAAGACAGCGCAGAGGAGCGGTGGAGGGCGGAGGGCAGCGTAGGGCTACACTATGTGTGCCGGGGTGCCGCTGCTGGCCGTTGCGTGACAAGAAGGCGGCGGACTGGCTTCAGAAGCAGCCAGGACAGCGACAGCGATGGTGACAGGGGAGGGGGGGTTTGGGTAGTAGCAGGGCAGCTTGGCGGGAAGGGCGTACCATGTAGGCGAGCAGAGGCGCCGGTGCTGGGGGTGGTGGGTGTTTGTGTGGACGCGGCGTGCAGTGGCTGCTGCAGGATGTAAAGGGCGAGGATGAAGCTGCCAACGGCGGCGAGGGTTTTAGGGACGCGGCTTCAGACGCGCTGGTCGAAACACCAACGGTCGAGGGTGCAGAGGTCGCGACGGGGTTGCAGGTGGAAGCGAGAGCGAGGGCGTGGGCGTGGATGGGATGCGGGAGCGAGGGTGGTGCGGTAGGGGTGGACAAGGAGCAAGAGTCGACTCACCATCTTCTGTGACGCTACAGGCGCCTGGTCTTCCTTATAGTTGCGGGCCCTATCTGGGATTTTTGGCTGCGACATTGTTATGATTGCGCGGTGGGAGTCGACGTCGAAGGATCCGGGCAGCGAGGGTCCGGGCGCTGGTGCGATGGACGAGGATTGCGAAGAGATGCAGTAGCGTGGCCTGCGCAATTTCAGGCGCAGAGCAGGCGGCGCTAGCGACGGCTAGGGAATGGGAGCGAGGCCCAGGGCAGGCAGCGTGTGAGAGAGTGCAGAGGCGGTGGGGCGGCCGCGGTGGAGACGGTCGTTAAATCAACTTGGAACAGCTAACACGGCTCCCGACGCCGGCCCTGTCCCTGGTCTGCTGCACGCTCGGACACGGTCCTGTTTCGAGCGGCCAGCCCGGCTCTGCCACCAGGGATCGCCGCCGAAATGCTGAGAGTGCTGCTGCGCCCAAGGGCCTGCTGCTGTGCGTATACTCCTCCTTCACCTCCTCCCCCCCGTCCCCGTCCCTGTCGCTCTCCTATGCCTCTCTTTGTCTGTCTGCCCCGACACCCGGTCGCGCCTTCCGAGCGAGCCAGTGAGCCCCCCTCACGTGACCCATTCACTGCCACTGCCTCTGCCTAGCTTTGCTCTTTCCACTACTTACCTACGTACGACGCGTCTCAAGTGGTGGCGGCCGCGCCTGCACGAGTGGGGAAGTCGCCGGCGGCCATGGGGCGGTCAAGGCAAGCGCAGCTTCTATTTTCAAACTCTGCCTAGTGTCTTTGCTTGCTGCCCACGCCGGCGTATGCCAAACCACCACACACGCCAGACGCCCTCCTCACCCACGCCCGCGGCCTCTTCCTGTCCTGTCTTGTCGTGTCAAATCATAACAATCCTCGTTCCATCCATTCCCTTCTGTCCGCGCCCGTCTTTTGCCCGGCTCTTGTCTTGCCAAGCACGCGCACATGTCCCGCACTCAGAAAGACTAGAACTACTTTCTACTAACATTACTACACACGTCTAGCCTGCCTGCTTGCCTGCTGCCTGCCGTCATGGGTCGCGCCTGCCCCCCCTCCCTCCCCTGTCGCTCGGCTAAATCCTTCAAGATGGGCAGTCGCGACCCCACGGTACTTCCCTTACTCCCAAGGCCTGCTGTAGTAAGCATCCCAGCACCATAGCATGCTGGCCCCGGCCCTGCTATAGCAATGCACCATGCGACCTTCATTTCGCCCCTGCAGCCTGTACTCACAATCCTCGCCCTCAGATCACAGCTCGCACCCGCCGCGGCCCTATCGGACGCGTCACTGACCCATTCTCCCACAATTTTGCCGCATGCTGTGTGTGGTGTGTGTGAGCGTGTGTGCGCCCTGCCCTCGAGTCCAATTCACCGCCGCTAGTCGACCGTTTGAGCAGTTGCACCACTCTGCCGCCCCGCCCTCTGCTCCGCCATTGGCCGCCGCTGCCGGTGAGGGCAGAAAAACACTTGCTCGCTCCAACGTCGCGTACGGCGACTGGCCGATGCACGCCCGCATCCACCAACCGCCATGTACCGCACTCGAGATCGGCCACGCGATGCTCGTCACGGCAATGCCTCTCGGGAGCAGCGTCATGGGCGGCCTGGTCCAATTGCCGCTGATCGGCCCTGGGACGTTGCATCTCACTCCTGCGAGCTCTGCGGAACCATGACACCGAACACAAACATCTGACCTCAGGGGCGTGGCCGCATCGTCTTCGGCCCATCTTCATCATGCCTGCCCCCGTCAGCCCTGTCCGCCATCCGCAAATGCCCGGTCATGCGGCTATGGGGGACCAAGTACGCTGAATTGCCTGTTACGGGCCTGAGTCGATGCGTCTATAATAAGTTAAATGACAATTTATGCTCAGCGCGCGCACTACGCCTCAAGAAACGTTACTGCAACAATGGGGGCGAATAGCCGCCGAAGCCCATCGTAAGAGCAATTCCATTCTGCTGCACCGCTCGAGCCGACCCCAAAAAAGCCCGTCTCGGTGCATTAACTGCTTCGTCTCCCTATCTTTCCCTGATTGCACGTTTAAAGCCTGCTTTTTTATTATTGTTTTTTCTGGCCTAGAAGACGTACGGCTGCTGACGGCGCCATGTACGCATCTAGTTACCTACATACAGACACCAGCAATGCGCTGCATCCAGGGCCGACCCTCCTTCGCCCTCGTTGTGTCTTTGTGCTTGACAGGCTTCGAGAACGGCTTCCATGGTAAACACTGCGCGCGCCGTCCCATGTCGTGAGCACCCCCTCCCTGTCGCGATCGCGGACATGGGACCTGGGTTCGTAAATGTTCCGAGCGAGGCGTTCGCAGTGCGGAGAAACCCTGGGAGCATGCTTGCTGGCCTTGCTCACGACCAGGGAGATAGGTCAGGTACCGAGCGACCATCAACTCTATTCCAACGCCGCTCCAAACTTGTTTGTCGGGCACTACACAATGCCACTGCACCGCCGGTGAACACGGCTGGCGCACGCGGCTGCGTATGCGCTCGATCCGAAGCGTCAACCTGATGCCGTCTTGCGCATTCTACACTCGACGACGATAATTGCTCTCCCCTTGTGCGCGCCCAAATCTCCCTGAACGCGCTCAACACTTGGTCCGCCACGGCGCCTCTTGACGCATTGACGGCCGGCCGCGCCTGCACTAGTCGCGCAACATCTGGCAGGTCCAGTGTCGATCTTGTAAGCGACCTTTTTGCGCACGCATGCCGTGTTACATCGGCTTTCTGTTCATAGTCCATTTACGACGGTTAGTCGTCGCTGTTCCTCCACACTGTAGCGCAAGCCCATGGCCTGACGGGCGGCGTGCATGTCGGGGGCCCATCAGCTGGTTTGGCCCGTCGAGCGACTCGTGCACATCGCTTGCTCCCCTGTCCCACCGCATCCTCGAATCCTGCTTGTGTGACGTTTGCGAGAACGCTCGCTCGCTAGCTGCCAGCCTGGTCTTTGTCCAATGCCCGTCGTTGGCAGGCTCGGCTGGCCGTTGCCGTGCGGATACATGGCTGACAGGCCATGGGCACGCTTGATCATACCTGACTCTGGTCGTGGCCGTTGTCCACCCGCGGGAAGCAGGGGTGCAGGCCTGCTCAATAACGGTCGACGATCACAATGGACAAGCTGTGCGATACTGCCGCACATGGATCCGACTCGTCCCGTTGGCCTCCTGTCTAGCGCAAAAGGCTGAGAAAAATCGCTACACACCACCCACCACCACACCCCGCTGCGCCTACCGCATTCCCCGATTCGCCCTACCTACATACTTACATAAGTACATATGTACTATGTGCGTCTCTGGATTGCACAGTATCCTTTAGACCTGCCTTATCTGTCGTTTCTTGAAAACACACCAAAACTAAGGCTATCGCCCCAGCCGCAGTGTATACATATCGGGAGATTTACTGCTTATCGAGCAAAAAACCCTAGACTCGGTCCATCAGGCAAATGATCGACACGTATGTAAGCCCATCGTCACAACAATGTTTGCAATAATACGATCCAGTGACGGGAGATTTATGCCCACGGACACCGTCGCGTATACAAGGATAGTTAGTAGTAGGCCATGGTGAGAAATCTAGGCCTCTGTCGCTTCATCATACTTGCACCAACACGCACGAATGAACAGTGACGGCGCGACAACTCGTCACAACCACGTTGAAAGAAAAAAAGAACAGTTTGACAACTAATCTTGGTAACGCAAAACCCCAAGCCACGAACCTGGAGCGAAGATCCCCTGGGCCCCTCGACCTTGCTTCCCGCTGCTTCCCCTTGAGGGTTGTTGCCATTGCAGCCTGGGAGGGTGTCCGATCCCCCAACTTCTGGGACTAGTCGTACTGACCGGGGTGCTTGTTTCGCACGGGAATGCCGAATACGATGCTCAACGTACTGCAATATATCAATGCGTAGGTAGGAATGTGATTATTCCCGTACACACACTCAGTGTATACATGCGTAATCAGATGAAGAAAGAGGTCGTGACACGACCTCCAATTTCGCGGGCCATTGGCGAAATGGACTAGACCTTCATTCTGCTTTGAAATGGCCATGCCTCCAGCCGAATTTTCAGTTGCGAACGTTACTGCATAAGCGGCATTTCTGACAGGCAACGCCACGCGGTTGATTGGCTCGACATATGCCGGCTTTAATCATGAGACGAAGTGGACCGTACCATCCCAGCCGATATGTCAGACTTGCGACAAGGTCATGCTGGTCTCCCGCACATACCCTGTGCATACCACGCCGGCAGACGCCACGGATTGGAACGGACACTTGGTGGCAATGGGAAGATTTGGCCATGAGCTGATTGCTGCAGCAAGTCATCGACGAGGCCAAGTAGTCCTTTCAATGATGTCAATAAGCGCTAGCTGCCGAGTCGCTGCAGCAGGCTGCGACAACAGGATCTGGCCCGCCTCGGCCCACCAGCCATCTAGACCCATCCCTGCGCATCCTTCTTCCATCGCATTCACTCTGCTGCGATATTCCTTGCAGATTTCTACATGGACACTACAGATGCTTTGTAAAATGGTAAGAAGATATACTACCTGCCCAGCGGACGACAGTAGACGAGGCTGGGCGCCACAACCAATCAAAATGTTTAGCAGCTACTAATCTTCTGACGATTAATACCGGAGCGTATATTAGAAACTCGTCGCGTCATGATTAGTCGTGCGCCATTGACTGGATACTGAACTCGCGCATTTTTCACATGTTACGCCCACCCCATTGGAAACTGCGATACGGCCCTCCTTTTCTTTTGGCTGCCTATCACGCCCTCTACACTGGCTTTGGGCGAGAAGATGGCAATGCGCGACGGCCACTGGTCAAGATCTTGTTGTTTCTTTTCGCACAATGTCCCTCGATACCGCATTGCATGCGCCCCTCCTGCCTGATCCTGCAAGAAGCAATTCATCGGATGCGTCGCATGGCTGATTCGAACCACATTGCATTCGGGCCTTTTGATGGAAAGCAGCGCGCGCTCTCCGCAAACAATGCCTAAATCAAGTTGACATCATATTGTCTTCGTCTTGGGCTCAGAACGGTGCTGGTGACTGGTCTCTGCCTGCGTTTCACGATACTAGCGGCCTTCTAGCAGCCTTCTAGAATGCGTCCTTAGTAATTGTACTCGCCCATGTCTACTTACGCGCTGCTCGAGTCGCTCGCGTTGCTCGAGTCGAGTAACCTCGCGCAACAACCTCAATCTCCTCCCTTTTCCGTTTCAAACTACGGAAGCCCATGTCATCATCCCGTCCTTGGCGAATTACCTTATCTGGGTAGTATCGCGAGTCGCGATATCTAAACGTACATGTAAACGGGATCAGCCCAATATATCCTCAGGCCAGCACTAGCTATCGCGCGGCCTGTGCAAAAGGACAAAGCGCTATAGTTGATGCTCCTGCAAGAGCACACGTATCGCTTGGACGTCTCACAGACATGATCTTCGCCTTGTCCACTTTCTACTTGGAGCGCTGATTGCGACTACCGCACTCTACGCCCCACGCGTATAGCGTGTAACAATACACCCAGCGAATCAAATGGGGGCAACGCAAAAGTCACTCCACAACACCTCCGAAACTTATTACAGGTGGCTGGGAGACTGTAATTCCAAATATCTTTTTTTCTACCCTCCCTTCACCTCTGTTTCCCGCCACGATGCTGAGACTGTTGCATCCTCAGGATATGCAAAGATAGGCTCATCAAATGGCTGCGCATAGTCGCAAAAGTACGCGATACATTAGATGAATCGGACGACACCAAGCCTCGCGAAGGGCTATTTTTAAGGTTTCACCAAACGTTGACTGACATATCGGAGAACGTTCTCAAACTCGCGTTTCACGATCGGGGAATGCATTGCCAGCCTAAGCAAAATATCGCCTGACTCCCTGAAGAAAACAGCTCAGTGGTGGAAACTGGGATATTGCTGGGAGCAGCCCGGTATAGGCGACCTGGAACTTTACTCGACTGGGTTCCCCTAACCATGTACGGGATCGAAAATCGTCCGATCTTTCCTTCCGTCTGTACGAGAATCCCGTTGGGTATTCATCGGAAGTCACAACTGTCGTGTCCATCTGTATACAGGGTTGTTCCCCGGATGCGCGTCAAAAGACTTCAAGTAAATCTCGACCGTGGTGCAATCATGGTTCCAAACAGAAGCAGACATAGATGCGCGTGACCCTTTTGATCTTGACGTGCTGTATGAACGGCTCGGTGAAAAGGGCATTTGGCAACGCGCGACAGTGACATATTCTTGGGGCTGTGAAGGATGCATCCACGCGCAGCCTGTTAGGCTTCGAGGAACGTGGCTCCGTCTGCTCCATTCTCTCACACTTTAGGTGCCGAAACAAGATTATCATTATGGCATTCGTGTCCATTTCTCAATGTACCCAGACCCTTCCATCTTCCCCCGTCGCGAGTACCCACAAAAACTAAACATTCTCAATAGCATGAAGACCTTTGGGTATGCAACGGTTCAACTCTAATTTACGATCGACCCTTATTGTCGGGTGTACCGGTACGCGATAATTACCCAAAGCTGATTGTTTTTACCCTTTTCTTTTCGCTTCCGCTCCCACCTGATATCCTTTGCTATCGGCCCAGCCAAATGTACGCGTCACAACCCCCGCTCAAGTCAGCCCAGCCCGATTACGCGGAACTGAGTTTTACCAAGAAGATCAGCAAATCTGATGCTGTCATTCGGCCCTGCCGCGCAGTTCCGACGAGAGAGCC